TTGGTATTTTTTTATTTATATAATATAAAAAATCACATTAAATAAGAAAAATGCATGCCAAAAATAAATGTTTAAAAATAATTACTTTATAAAAGTATTGATATACATATTTTTATTAATTTATTCAGTAAAAATAAAATGGTTTTTGTTAAGGTAATTTTTAATGATTTTTTATTAATATTAAATGTTATTTTTACATTACAAGACATAACAAAAATACAAAACATGCAATCTCTGCAGAATGAAACATAATATGAACTAGTATAAGTTAAGCTCAATCGACAGCAATTATTTATGTGAACTAATAATGATTAATTGATTATATCATTACTTTTTTAATCATAAAATGAAAACTAGGTGTTATGGTAATATACTTACAATGGAAGTGAATAGGACCCACTTTCAGAGATTTTACAACAAGAGACATGCAGCTTTTAATTTTCTAAAAACACCTTCATCCTTCTGTTAAAACAAAGTAAATCTGTTTAAATAATTTTACAGTCGTTTTAGGATTAATAGTATTACATTATCATGGCAAGTGGATATATACGTTTACACAGAAAAGGCTAGTAGTATTTTTTTCCACAGTAAAATCATATTTACATGCATCTTGTGGCTATACTACTGAAATTGAGAGAATTTGAATGCTTACAGATTGGCCTCAGTTCCACTGTAAGTGTCTCACTGTAAACAGATTTTTGGCTTTTCTATATAAAAGGAGAGACAAGTGGAAATTACTTTGTTGAAATTGCGGTATACAACATTATGCCACAAAAGCTGTCGATTGAGCATAATGTGTACCAAACCCAGATAATTCCTTAAAAATGTAGCGTTGCATCTTAGAGAACTGGAGCAAAAGAAAGCCAAACAGAAGTAGAGACAGCAAGAAACAGGAAGAGAGAGAGAGAGCTTGCATTCCTACAGAGTATAATCACAGTTTATTTGCAACTGGTGTATTACTCAAATATGCTGCCCTATGAGAGGAGGAAGAGACAAGTGAGCAGGATGGACGGATAAATAAACAAAAGGCCTGCCAAGAAATGACTCTTCCTCTCTCTCTTTCCCTCAGACTGGAGGAGGCAGCCGTTCTCACATACTCCCCCGTCGTCCATCCTGTCGTCATCGCCGTGTGCTGTTTTCTAATCATCGTGGCTATGGTGGGCTACTGCGGCACACTCAAGTGCAATCTGCTCCTACTGTCTTGGGTAAGAACTGGGAAGGAAAAAAAAAAAACGAGGACAGCAGGAACATTGTGTGGTTTGGAATGTGTGTGGTTTTGTGTACCGAGAATATTTTAAGTTTAGCTGGCAGTGACGTTGTTGACCCCAACCACCACAGATTCCAACAAGTCATGCTTTCTTTATCCACGTATCCCCTCTGAGACCGCCGTGTCTTCACTTCATACACTAGAGGGGAGCAGAGAGAGAGAGCACATCCTTATAGTCTTCCTCAAATATTTACTTGTGTAATGTGATGTATTTCCATGTGAAATTGGGTATTTGATGAGATGAAATTGTGAGACGAAACTTGATTTTTTTCACTGGTAACTGATTGGATTGTGAAAAGTGGCCTTTACATATGAAAATGGAATCAGGTAGTTAAAACATACAGTAAGCGATGATGATGTCAGCAGAAAAGGAAAGTTGTTTTAGAGTCTGAGTAAATTTTATTTTTTTCATGAAAGTCTGTTTAGACTATGAAAAAGGTCATTAAAAATGTCCAAACTGCTCACTGCTAATTCGCTGAAATTGAAAGTTAATTTGCGTAATCTGATGTGGAACACAGAAATATATTTAATAAAGTGTCCAGGCTGCTCTTTTTCGTGCAATAAAAGAAAAATAATTTTTTATTATTATTATATATATATATATATATATATATATATATATATATTTTTTTTTAAATGTACTAATAATTAATTATATTAATATTTCAAGCAATATATTAATTTTATATTTATATATATTTACACTTTTTAGACATGTATATGTATGCATATATATAATGTAATGTCAAAAGTTTTTAAAAAATTGTATTCATGCATTAAAAATATTTTTTTTATTATTAGTTAATATTAATTAATTTTTATTAGTAGTACTAGTATTTTTTATTATTATTTTTTTTTTACATTTTTATTAATAAAATACAAACTTTTTTTAGTCAAATGTTTTTGCTTTTCTGGAATAACAGATAATGATTAATCATGCACAGTGAGTTGTGCAACATGCAATAATGGGTCAGTATGTTGACTTTAAAGACACCATAACATTAAAATTGACCATATTTGCCATAATCGTTTATGTTGATGTAACAAAAGACTTGTAGGCAGAAAATGTTAACCAATAATATCACAGCATAACATTCATATTCTAATCGAATCCCGATGGATATGCTTAAGTCCTGCCACTGTTATTTCCCCCCAAATATTGTTTCTCACTTTCACAAATATGTCTTTTTATAGAAGTTAAATGCAGTGTGAATTCAGTTTCATGTAGTTTTGACTCCACTGCAGACATGTGTGTATAAAACTAATGTCACTCATTTCAGAACTACACTGGTATACTACAAGGCCATATCTTTCTTATATTAGATGTCACGGTGCACCCTGCAGCTAGTTATGCTTATCATCAGAATGTGTCTGTCAGATGATAATAACCGCCTCAGACACTAGTAGCAACTTGTCCTATAGGTGATGGAGGCCGAAAAGCTCCTGCGTCTCTGAGACAAAGAGTTAGACAGCAGTAATGTGTAAGCACTGCACATCAATCAACATGATGGACTGTCTAGGAGAGCCAAATAGAGGGCACATAGTTATATCCATTGTGAGAGATTTTTGTGTGTTTAGACGGATATGTTGGTGACATTATGACTTGTGAAATTGCACGATCTTGACAGGCTGTTAGCACAGATGATATAAATGATTTGGGGAGGAAGGAAAGTCCACCCTCTATCTGACCCTTCGAATTAAACAGGCTGTTTTTCCTACTTTAAAATGACAGTCCACCCAAAAAATTTAAATCTGTCATCATTTACTCACTTGTATGTTGTATGTCATTACAAAACCATTTGACATGGAACAAAAAAGGAAGATACTAAACAAAGCATCCAGGCAGAGAGAGCAGGCAGAGGGCTGTTTTGTGGCTCTCTGTCCCAGGTGTGTGGGTTTCCCGTCTGCTGACCCAGACTGAGGGCCTGTTTTCTGGGACTCCTTGGCCCATCTCACTCCCTCCTCCTCCTCCTCCTCTCTCTGGGTCTCCATTCATCTCCTCAGGAGCCTTTCTCCTCTCTGCCCCGGCGGGCTTGTGTTACCCAGCGGCTCGGCGACAAACAATATTATCTGGCTGAGATACAATAGGTAAACCAATCCAGGAGGAGAGCTGGAAGACATGAAGAGAGGAGAGGCGCTTGGGTTACGTGGTCACTCTATTCACTAGCCGCGCTCTCACCGAGTGCTGCGACCTGGCCGAACACACACACACACACACACACACACACACACACACATTAACTCAAACACTCTCACACACTCTTTATCCTGTCAAAGAAAAGAAGGCAACCGGGAGATCGTGAGAGCAGAGAGAACTTCATATTAAACATCAGTACATGGCAAGAAATTTAAGGCTACGTCCACGTTAATCCAAAATTATCATTCCATATGGTCTAAAATGCAAAACTGTCATTTTTGTGGTAGGACAGCAATTGCGAGTAAATATTCTGCCATCTTTGCAGGAATATGACAGAATATGAAGAGTAACATTCATCTTTAGGAACATTATTAAAGTGAGCAGGCACAACAATGCTGGTAAACAATATACATATATATATAGGTTTACAATATACGTCACATGAATAAACATGCATCATAATTTTTAAATGCCTCAGTTTTTAAAGTCCACACTAAAAAGCAAAAAGCCTCGTATATCCTCTTAAGACAAAAATGCTGTCTAAGTGTAGACAAAAGGCCAAAATGTCGAGAAAAAAAATTCATAAATACAAAAGTTGCTTGCAATAATATTAAGAAAATAAATAATAAATTGTTAAGTTTTATCATTTTTAAAAACATTTAAAAAAATATTTAAAAATATATAATATAATAGTAATGTATATTTTATATAAGTACATAAATGTAAAAAAGAAATTAAGAAAATAAATAGGAAAAACTTTTAAAACCAGTTTTATTAATACATATGATTTTTTTTTACTGTACTTTTATCTAAATAAATTTACAATAAATAGCTAAAAATCAATTATTTTAAATGATACAAGTGTTATTGAATGATTAGGGTTTTTAAAAATTAATTTTAAGCAAAGTCCTATTTTGGTCATGCAAGACCAACATTCAACATTTCAGATCAGCAAATCTGACACAAAAAAAAACTACTGTCATTACAGATGCAGTGAAAAATTAAGATGAAAAACTATGGACAAAGTTATTTTTGTGGCTGACCTTATTGCATATGCATTTGTTGGAGTCTCCCTTTTTAGACGAAAAATGTTGCTTAATATTATAATAACGTACATTTCAAGTCTGTCCAGCCGATGTGTGGTCTTAAATATCCAGTATCAATCAATATGTATGAAGGCTAATGTTGGCCCATAATCAATACGGTACCAATATATTGTGCATCCCTAATAGCTTAAAAAGTAATAGCACATCTCTCCTCCATAAATCACATAATTTGAAGTGTCATTCATGTCCACAGCACAGTCTGTTCAAATCTCTTAACCGTAAGCAAACCCAAAAGCAGCAGTTTAACAGTAGCCATCTGTCAAAACAAATCTGATACGACTTTAGAATCAACTCGCTCTCGTTCAGTTTGCATGACTAAGTGATAAAGGGGGTGTAAATTGTTCCGGTGAAAAGGAAATCCATCCATTTCGACGTGTCCTGTTTTCTGTAACAGTAACAGCCAAAAAATGTGTGAGTGTGAAAGAGGAAAAGTAAAACTCTCAACAAATCAATAAACCGAGAGGTCGGCAAGAGAATGTAACCTCGCTTACCCTGAGAAATATATGTGCATGTTTGCAGATGAGCCAGCTTGTTGGGAACTTCCAGAGGTTACAAGTTCACACTGGACATATTTGAACAGCAGATATTAGCTGGGAAGAGTGTGAAGAGAAAAGGTTGTAGTTTTTTCGTGGCAGGCATCTGACAGACCAAATGGACTGAAATGCTAACACAGCAGTAGAACAGCCACAAATATTTAGTCTCCCCCAAATAAAGCTGTCAGATGGGGGTCTGCTCTGAATGCGGCTCCTAACACTGTCATTCATCTTGATAATCTCTCTTAAAGTGTGTGTTCAACAGAGGGGAACTATGTACGTTAAAGAGATTCTGAGAAAGACAGAACAGGAGGAGATGAGATTGATGTGTTAACTCACAGGGCCCTAAAGACAAAATCTGTGCATCTGCGAATGCAAAAAATAATCTTTTTGGAATTTTGATTATCTTTTGTTCCATCCATTCTGTGCATCCATACTGCATACTACATTTTTAAATAGGACAATTAAGCAAAAAATAAACAATTCAGATAGTAGTATGCTACATTTTTGTCATTATGTTCTCATTATGTTTCATATTTAAGTCATCAAGTGGTGAAATTCTAATGTTTTAAAATATATATATTAATAAACTCTCTCTCTCTCTCTCTCTCTCTCTCTCTCTCTCTCTCTCTCGCTCTCGTATAATTTATTTTACAATTTCAAAGATGATAATTGGGTACCACTTGAACACTTAAATATAAAACATAATAATATATAAATATTGAATTCCAAGACGATAATGTAGATAACTGGATGTCACTTGCTGAATGAACAAATGTTGTATAAACAACAGTGTAGCATGATATTTAAAATATTAATTGCACACTGCTACACATACAAAAAATAGCTTGCAATGAGATTAAGAAAATAAATAATAAATAGGTCAGTTTTATTGCTTTTAATGAAAAAATATATAATTAAAAAAAAATATAAATGTAAATTTTTTTTATATTAAATATACATTTTTAAATATAATATAATTTAATATAATATAAATTTGCATGCATAAATACAAACGAGGATAATGGATCTTATTACAAGCAAATTTTGTAAGTCGCTTTGGATAAAAGCGTCTGCTAAATGACTAAATGTAAATGTAAAATATTTACATGAATTTATATTTATATCCATATAATGTATTATATATAAATATATTTTATATATAAACATAAAATTTTTCTTAAATATATACATGCATGTGTGTGTATTTATATATACTAGGGCTGTCCTCGACTAAAGATTTTTCTGGTCGACTAGTAGTCATTCATTTGAAGCATTAGTCGACTAATTGCACATTTATTAATAAACCATTTAAATCATTATAATGAGCCTTTAACATAGCCTATAAGCTCTCAAGCACATGCATAAACCTTGCCACAGCGCACCGCAGAAGTAATGATTATGAATATGTCAGGGAAAAACAGTAAGGAGGCTGCATTAACATTTTAATAACGTGTTGATAAACTAGTGCTTTCTTTGTTCTCGGTTTAAGAAGAAGTTGGCGACACTGACTCGTCATCTCCGCAGTAGTAGATGCGCCTGTATGCATGTTTCATACAGATTATATAATCTGAGAATATTTGTTTTCCACTTGAATTGGTTCGTTTGAAAGTAGACATTTCACTCTCTATAGATATGTTTTCATATCTGTAAGGCAAATATAGTACACAGAGTTTCTGAGTTTTGCACTCAAGTTCACAGAGACCAAGATGGCAGAAAGCGCATCCTGTTTGCTTTCATTATTTTACAGAAGCACAATGTTTTGTTGTTATTGTGAGTGCACATAAATAAACGTAGAGTCTTTACAGATTCGAAATATGTATTACTCTTATCTGTATGACCAAAAATAAGTATTTTAAGAGCAAGTGACCGCACCGGTGGCTCCATCTGTATTGCAGTGAGCGCGCTTTTACACTCCACACAGACACTTCAATAGTGCACATTTTTCTAGGTTAGCCTAACATTAGATTAAGCGGCCATGTAAAATTGCTAATACTTACATATTTCAGATTTTTTTTTTCTGCGACTAAAAAATTTTGGTCGACCAAGCCTCTTCTGGTCAACTAACGATTAGTCGACTATTAGGTGACAGCCCTAATACATACATAATAAATATACACAGTACACACACATATATTATGTACACAAAATGTTTTATTTTGGATGCAATTAATCGTTGCCCAGCACTAAAAAATATATACTATTTTTTTATATTTTAAACAATTTATTTATATTTAATATACATTTTAAATATAATATAATATTATATACAGGGCTGCAAGTTCGCCACCGCTGATATACACGATTAAGGAGAAGAAAAAAAAGATTAACAAAATAAACAGGATCAGTTTCATCTTGACTTGAAAAATTATGGAATTGTGATCATTTAATACCTGGAAGGTCATGTCGAGTGGATTGTATAATGAGATGCAGTATGTGCTGTTATATTTGCATATTTTGCACAGTATACCTACTGCAACAAATAGTATGTCTAGTATGCTATTCTGAACACAGCCTGTCACAATTACGCAAAACTCCAGAGAGCCGACCTGAGAGACAAACCAGACCTCAGATCCCAGCATATGTGAACAAACACACACACACATTTGCTCTCCTTTCTCTATGTGTGATCATCAACACCTTCCTTCTGCCCTATTGTTTCAAAAGATATATTTAACCAAACTGTTTTCCTCTGTGTGTGCGTTCGCAGTATTTTGGCAGTCTGATGGTGATATTCTGCGTGGAGCTGGCCAGCGGAGTATGGACGTACGACGAGGTGCGTGATACTATGAATAAACAGGAATGCCTACACTCTCCTCTCTCTCATGTCAACAACATGGCCACCACACAGTCGTTCCCAGGAGCATTGGAATGAGGATCCGATTTCTAAGCCGCTTGCTTACGATCTAATCTTAACTATTATGACTTCAAAAGCCCGGCTCTAGCACATTTCCTTTTGGGGGAGTTAATAAGCAGAGCGTTTACGTTTATTAATGTGCGGATGGCGGGTGGAGTCATCTATGTAAATGCTCTAGTTGGCTCTTGAAGCAAGATTAGCATCAGGCTTTACAGAAACCTGTCTCTGATCTGTGCAGACTAAAAGATTTGATCAGCAAAGGGGAAAAGGGATTGCAGGTAGCATCTGCTTATGTTAGCCCAGGGATACTAGAGATAAGGCGCACCTCCAGGGGAAGAGATCACACACACCTGGCTTTAATCTAGCTTCTCTCATACAGACATACACAGCTACTGCTTGAAGACGCACTCTTATCAACAACCTAAAAACCTTTGTTGGGTGTGATGGTCCTATTGTGTTGTGGCCTAATGTGACCCCTGTGTGTGGGTGAGCGGGTGGGCAATGAGTTGGTTTACTCCGCCGCACCTGGCCTGGTTACATGTTAGCAGTTGTATCAACAGTGTATCCACTTCAACTTTCCTTGGCTTAAAGTCAACATGAAATGACATTCGCAACCCATCTTATTTCCGAAATGTGTCGTTTTTAACTCTTTCCCTGCCAGCGTTTTTGCAACAACAAAGCCACCGCTAGCATTTTTGACGATTTTCACTAAAATATAAGGGACCCCAGAATATTTTGTTGTATGAATATCTGAACATGCAATACTTAAAAATAAAGATCCGAGCCTCTACTTTAAAAAAAATCAGTTTTATTCTAGCTTCAAGTTTTCTTTTTTTATCAACACTTGAATGTAGGCAAGTTTCGTAAAAAATGCACAAAATGCTTATCAAATACTACATCTGAATCATATTCAGTACGATGATCAAAGCATACATGTAGATCGCTTCCATCAGCTTGCACAGTCGTTTACCACTTCCTGGATCGAGATTTCACTCGGTAACATTAGACAGTTTTGATTTGCTTTCATTTGCTGCTTATTGTCGATGATCGCATTATTTTTCATATGCATCTGCTTGTATATGAGATCACTCATTTTTACGTCTTCCTCGTCTGTGTTTTTGATCGAGTGATTCTGGGCTCATTCAGGAGATGTGTAATAGCGCCCCCAGAGTGTATAATAGTGAAAACACGGAAACCCGGAAAATTCTGTGTTTGGTGAAACTGAATATTATTGAGAAAAAAAAAGAAAAAAGAAGGACGAGACTTAATTATTAAAACAGAATTTAGTGGAATGTAAAAAGTGGTGATTCCAATGAAAAATGTCAACAACAAAAAAAGTACAAATTCCCTACTTACAGATCATAGGTTGGGGGACACCCCCCCCCCCCCAAAAAAAAAAAACCTTGTAAAAAAAAAAAAGTGTCAAAATTAAATACTTAAAGTAAATAATAAAATTAATACAAATATTTTATATTTACAATATTTTAGAATTATAATAAAAATAGCTACATCTAACCGTATTTTAGGGAAAAAGTCAACTTAAAGTAAATATTTGAAAAATAATATTTACAAAATCTGTTTTTAATATAGAAAGATAAATCTAATGTAATATATGCATGTTCTACTGTATAACATTCATGCAGTTTCTTTACAGTTTATATATGAAAAAAGGCCTAGATTACATTAACCAAAAAGGAAAGTCATTTTGGAGGTTTAGCAGGTTATTATGGTTTAATTTTTCTTTAGAATAACATGCAGTTATGAATTACTCACAATAAGCCCAGAAATATGTATTAATAAATTATATTAGTCGATTGTAATTTCATGTTGACTTTAAACTGACAAGCTTAAGCCAGTTCTGCTGAGATGACACATCTAGCCATGGGCATCATGGGTACTTATCATATGCCTCTCACCAGGGCCGTTTCTAGGCATAGGCGAGTTAGGCGGTCGCCTAGGGCGCCACCAGCTGAAGGAGCGCCAATGAGCGCACATACTGGCACTTTTAGCAGGGTTGTGATAAAGAGTGGCATGGTCACCCTGAAATATGGCTGCCGCCCCCACTGGATCCCCCAACATTATTGGGCTAGAGTACTGTCAATCTGACGATGCCTGTATGCCACTAGACCAGAGTGCTGATAAAGCTTTTATATGTAGTTTGGGGTAACAAAGGGGTTTGACTGAAATAATAATGCAATAACTGACACTTTAAATCAATGTTTCAAGAAACAACAACAAAATTTTTTAACAAAAAACAGATAAAAAAGTAGCCATTGATAATATCTAAACAATATGTAGTAGTATAGTATATAGTATCCAAATCAAAATGTAATAAAATTTATTTATGTGTGATTTATGTGTAAATTATGTGCAATGTCTTAGCCACTAGGGATTGTTACATAGTGCTATACAGGCATCTAGTGACAACACAATGATATTACAGATACTAAATTGAGCAAAATGTTTATCTTAACAGTCAATTTACAAATAATGCATTCAGATTTGTGGAACTCAATGCACTGAATCTCCACAAATTAGTGTCGCTACTATGACAACCAATTTGAATGTGACAACCAACTGGTGTCTGAAAAGAATTATATATATAAATTATCAATAGGGATTTCGCCTAGGGCATCAAATTGGCTTGAAACGGCCCTGCCCCTCACGATGGTTTCCGAGGTGTGAAAACAGAAGTGTCTCACGGGGACTGAACTGTAAAATGCCAACTAGTATATAAACAACACTTGCACACACACTTGTGATTAGAGCATTTCATAACTAGCCAATAAACTGGTCATAAGAGAGCCTAAAATTGGAAGTGTGGGCGTGTGGATGGTCCTTTAAACTGCCTGGAAATCACATTGTTTTTGTTATTGAGAAAACATAATTACTGTGCGTGTGGGGAATTGATTTTATGTGATTACAAAATCACAAGGGACAGTTACAAGGCTTTTAAAATTGTGAAATGATTCCTTTATGAATATTTCTCCATAACTCCCCCTTTCTTTCTCTCTTCAGCCTATGGTACAGAGGTCTGATATGATAAGTCTGAAGTCACGTATGCCTCATTTCGGCCTGCAGCGCTACCAGTGGCTAACACATGCCTGGAACTCTATACAAACAGAGGTGAGAGGTCAAAATCATCAGCAGCATAGCAGCTCGTCTAACACCTAACCAGCCGCAATGCAACATTTGATGGTGTTAAGTAATTCTAGTGTTGTCACTGAAAGTGAAAATGCTTAACATGCCATTTAGTCAGTGTGAAACATCTGATTTTGAAAAAGACTAATCCTTTTCTTTTTTGCATTTCTTCTATAGCTTTCTTCTTGGTCTAGTTGTCTAGTAAACCCGCCATTGTATATTAAGAAATATTGTTGGTTCAATATTATGAATATTGTTGGTTCTTTGTTTGCTTAATGTATAAATGTTAATGTTAATATACAGTTATGTGAAGTAGGATTTTGAACCAATTGCAATTCAGAATGAAAATATTATGAAAACATCACTGTCAATTACTAATTTTACAATGTGATCTTGTGGTAATTCGTATGCATTCTATGTAAAATGTGGTTCTATCGCTATAACATGGCTAGGTTTAGGTTTGGGGTTCTAAAAATCTAAATCACTTATTGGTAAAATGATAAAAATGCATATTCGCTATAAAATGGGTAGGTTAAGGGGTCTAAAAATCTAAATCGCTTATTGATAAAATGATATGAATATCTTCATTATATAAAATATACGTAAATATTTTACTTTTTTTTTTTTTTCCTAAAAATACGTAGCGATTTGTAAGTTTTAAACATTGAAATAGGTCTAAATTATACGTTTCAACATCAATAAAAACGTACAAAAATGTACGTTTTGTGCTTGTAAATGTTACGTATTAATGCCTACATATAACCAATGAGACCAGGCTGAATTTTCATACCTGCCTTACAGTTGAAGTGTTGTGGAGTGATCTACTTCACTGACTGGCTGGAAATGACAGAGATGGAGTGGCCACCTGACTCCTGCTGCTCCAATCAGTATCCGGGATGTGCCCGCCATGCCCACTACCATGACCTCAGTGACCTTTACCAGGAGGTGAGCTTATTTGGATGTTGTAACCCCCAAGATTTTTGTATTATTCCTCTAGGCCAGATAGGGATGATGATTTAGTTGTTTATTATTATTATTAGAATAATTAAGGTTACAAAACCTCTCATAATGAGAAAATGTACCAGTTTAATTGATATATACCGGCTGATTTGATCAGTCCAACATTTGTTTAGACTTGTGGCAAGTTGGTTAAATGTTGAAGTGAAGATGATCTGATTTCTACATGTGAAGGGCATAACAATAATGAAAGTCATAAATGTACTCACATGAAAGGTCTTCTTTTGTGGTCCAATGGTGTCTCGTGAAAGTCATGCTGCAACAGCCAAAGATGCTCGTCTGCATATATATATATACACACAAACAATCAAAAACATTGTCAAGTCTAACCTGGACAGATAGATAAACTTGCTAAATGAATTGTGGTGGACCACAAGCCATTTCTTGCAGTTTCTATTCATTGATTTACTCATCTGTCACAAAAATGTCATCTTCATTTTTGGAGCTTTTCTGCTCAAATATTGATATGCGTGGAATAGCATGTAATTAATTTGATTACAATTTGAATTGATTGACAGCCCTAATTAAAACATGACTTTGCAGTTGACTTTGTAAAAATGAGGCCAGACAGTGGAGAGATTCACTCACCTGCTGAGCGTGTGTTTAATCAAGCTGTATTGCCAGTGAGTGTAGAGCGACTCCAGCAGTGCAATTAAAGTCAGTCACGTAGCGCAGAGACGCACCTGTGTGTTGAGTACCAAAACACACTGTCTAGGACAAACCCAACACAGTGTCTCATCCAACCCCCTGCTCTTCAAATGCCCTGTCTGTGACTCGTCTGCCACACTATACTTCAGTCTTTGAAGGGTTTGAAAAATGTTTAAAAAGTTTTGAAGTTTGGAGGTTTCTAAGATAAAATGAGTATAAATAGATAGATAGAACAACAGAATGATACACAGAACGATAGATAGATAGATACACAGAACGATAGATAGATAGATACGCAGAACGATAGATAGATATAGATATATAGATAGAACAACAAAATGATACACAGAACGATAGATAGATAGATACACAGAACGATAGATAGATATATAGATAGATAGAACAACAAAATGATACACCGAACGATAGATAGAACGATGGATAAATAGGATAGATAGAACAACAGAATGATACACAGAATGATAGATGATAGATAGATAGATAGATAGATAGATAGATAGATAGATAGATAGATAGATAGATAGATAGATAGATAGATAGATAGATAGATAGATAGATAGATAGAACAACCATGTTATACATGCATATCTGCTGCCTTTGTTCAGGCCTCAGAAAAAGAGGCTAATTTTTTTTAATCCATAATAGTGTAAACATAATAAACACAGTGTGTTTGTAGTAAAACAGGCAGCAGAGCTCAGCTATTCAGACAAATCCCACTGCAGAAGAGTGAAAGCAGGGAACATTGATCACTAGAGGGAGAGTCAGGAGTGAAGGACTGAGGCTGTGGAGACTGATCCTCACCCACTTCCTGTCTCTTTGTCTCTCTCTCTCTGAGTGGATGACAGGGGAATTACTGCACAGTATAAATCCCTCACTAACAGGAAATAGTTTACCTGCCCTTCCACAATTCAGCATAGGAAATACCCAAAACACATAGGCACGCACGCGAGAGGATGAAGGTGTCGCATCGCTCGCATATAAGCATGGCAGCTGTTGCGCTGGCAGAAATGTAGGGGAGATTTACATGAAAACAACCTGTTAAAGCGGAAGTGTTTTTTTTTCTGTTAAAATACTTTCTTATATATCAGTTTAATGTGAAAAGACAACTATAGTGAGACATTAGAAGGTTAAAGGTTGAGCTTTTTGCGCTTGCTGCATTGCTTGACTGGCCTAACTTATTAACATCAGTCTAATCTGAATAATTTCTGACTGAAACTGAGAAATTTTATCCATTGGGAATTGATTGAATGGTGAAAAGTAGTTATTATGCGCCATAATGTGGCTAGACTAATAATGTAGCTAATGCTAATTTGCTAAAACAGTGTCTAAATAGCCACTACTGGTACCAGTATCTAAAACTAGCAAGGCCTGATATCAGGAGAAAAGAAGTTTCAAAATAAGAGTTTTTCCCCTTTGGAATAGCATTATTAGAGATTCATTAAACCAGGAAAGAAACAATGAAAACTGATTTTTCAAGAGTGTTCTGGCCAAGATATAAAGATAATTAAAGAACACATATAAAATTAAATAAAGAAAATAGTAAAATAAAATGAATAAAAATTAATTTAAAAAGCTTAAAAAATTGTAATTAAAAAGTAAAATTTTAAAATAAATAATGAAATATTAATTTAAACAAAAAATAAAAACTTTAGAAAAATGTGCCACAAATAAGAGAGACAAAAGTAATCAGTGACACCATATTTTCCACCCTTTAGTTTGTTCGAATTATTCAACCTAGAAACGTGCATTAAGAAATTAACTAGGGTTGACATAACTTAATTTACTAAATTTGTTTTCAACAGGGTTGTGGACCCAAGATCTACAGTTTTATCCGTGGCACCAAGCAGCTGCAGGTGTTGAGGTTCTTGGGCGTGTCGATCGGCGTGGCTCAGATCTTAGCCATGACGTTGACTGTGACACTCCTATGGGCCCTCTATTACGACCACAAACCACCTGACCCAGCATCCCCGGATGCTTTAATCCAAATGCACAGCCCTGCAGAAGACGCTCAGAAGCCCAGCCACTCACATCCACGAGCGCCTGAGGCCTGGGCCAACACGCCTGCTAATGGACACACCCAGTTTGAGATGGAGCAACTTTCCTAGCAGTGACTTCATGGTGACCCATCGGCTACTTCAACACTGCGGAGACACTAAAAACGACACTGAATGGATTGGACGGCAGTGAACTGGACCAGAAAATGGACCTTGTGGAATGTGAAGTAGTTCTGTGTGCCTGGATAACAAGATTTAGGTGGTGTGAACAGTTTTATAGGAAACTTTATATACCTGTGGATAAAGTGGCTTTTTGTGGTCATCACATAGAAGATGAAGTGCATTTACTGGGTTCTTCCTAAATAAATCCATTGCCTCTGTCTCTACGGACTTGAATTCTCCAGAGGGAGGCTTCTAGAATCAACCGTTTTTGCTTAAATCTTTCTTCCTCTCAGTGAAATGGCCCGTCACCACTTACACTGACATAGTAGCAAACCTGGTGATTTTAGCCACTATTTTGCCATGCGAGACAAGAATTGTAAGAGTTTTCTTTTATCGTAGTCCAAAATTGGCAATCTTTTAACATTCGCTTCACACTATGATCACAATTTACCTCAAGTTTGTTCAGAAAAATTAACTAATTCCTTCTTTCACCAAGCTACGACAGACTTCAAACACTCCGACTTGTTTTCTTTACTAGCGCAAAAGTTTGTGTGGTACTATTTAAATTCTTGTTTGAACATTCATATTCATTTAAATGAGCATTCATGACAATTTTGTCTAAGATATACAGTGTGACATGCAAAACAAAACCAGTTTGCGTTGGCTTTTCTCAACCGGTTCATATTCTGAAATCTGACAGTCATAAAGGACAGGAAAAATACACACACACACCAACACATACACGCACACATATACACACACACACACACAGAAACACACATGGACACAAGTTTGAGTCTTAATGAGATTTTTCAGTTGGAATGAATGACGTTGGTGCTAAAAGCTCATTATGAAGATACTAGGATACATTTGTGCGGGTTTTCATGTCTTAATTTAACAGCTCCGTGATTTGATTCATATGGACTGGTGCATTAATGAGTGTTTTAGATCTCAAAAGTAGTAATCATTTTCTATGCAGTAATAGTCTGCACAAAAAATAGGTTATAATAGGGTTAATCTCTGCTGAAAGTTTGAGAAACCTCTTGCATGTGAATCAGTGCATTAAAAACGTCGAGATGGTGTTACTCGAAACCTGTGTGTGTTTGTTCATAGACAATTCACATTTCAGCCAACATAACGTGTACCCTGAGAAGTTTGAATTCATTTATTTTTATCATGGATGAATCAAAGGAGCAAATTATGGAAGGTCTTGAACACCAACAGGTTTAGGGTGGATCAAAAAAAAAAATAGATAAAATAGATAAAAATAGATAAATATAAAATTTTATTATTTTATACTACACAACATATTCTACATATTGTGTAATATATATATATATATATATATATATATATATAGGACCATGTGATATTTCAGTTTTTCTTTTTTAATAAATCTGCAAAAATGTCAACAATTCTGTGTTTTTCTGTCAGTATGGGGTGCTGTGTGTACATTAATGAGGAAAAAAAATTAACTTAAATGATTTTAGCAAATGGCTGCAATATAACAAAGAGTGAAAAATTTAAGGGGGTCTGAATACTTTCCGTACCCACTGTATATATAAAAACTTACATATATAAGTTTCTATGTTTTCAATTAAGTAATCAAAAGAAATGGACATTTACTCTCGCTCTATATATATATATATATACACATACATATACACGTGTAGGCGGAGTTTAGGGGGCGCTGGGGGCACTGCCCACCCAGACGAGAGCCAATCATGATTTTGTCTGAGCTATGAGTAAAATGTAAAAATTTAATTATTTATATTTTCTCTTTTTATTTGTATTATCTTATTATTTTAGTGGATAGAATAAGTAAGTTTTGGGCTAAATTAATTTCTAGTATATTTAAGCCCCATCCTCGCAAGCCGCGACTCATGATTCTTAACTTGTCGTCGCGATAGGCTACATGAGAGGACTCTCTTTTCTTTATTTTCCCGCTTTAGCAAGTTAACTAAATAATGGAAATTCGTTGTATTTTTTAATAAACTCGCGAATAAAAATGTGGTGGACTGATCACTGCTGGCTGAATTGGACAGGTGATTTTCACATGAAGCGTTGGCCTCAAGTGTGGCGTGTGACGCAGTATTCAGTTGTAAGAAAAACGGCATCAGTCCTCTCTAGCATGTATGCAAGTCTTAAGATTCACCCTTAGCTTGTGACCACAGTTGCCAAGTCCGCGTATTATACTCGACTTTGGGCTTCCTTTTTTGTAAAGTTACGTGAAAAAAATCCCAGGTCGTGGGTTGCGGGTTTTTGGGCTTATTTTAAAAAATATGGTTGCTTGTTAGGAAAACTTGACAAGCAACTTTGTTTCTTTTCATTTATGTTCACTGTATTCTCCAATGCATTGATTGACACTGTCTGCTCACAGTTAATAGCACAAATATAAGTGCTGTAGCGTAATTTGTCAAATATTCCGCCCCCTCCTCACGCGCCTTCTTTTTGAACGTGATTTTTTTCCCCTTTATAAGGTAGCCTGATTTTTTTTTTTTTACAATGTTTTTGTAATGTATTAATTATCACGGCCTGTAATAAAAAAACAAGCAAGCCTATACTAATACTAAGAGTATATTTGGTTCGAATAGCCAATATTTTAGTAGGCTATAAATATGTGGCTATGTTACAGCTCCCCTTTGAATCTCTTGTGTTTTTCTCCTTTTCCATCTCTCCAATCCTATTCTTCTAACAGGTGATTGGAGATGAGTTTTGTTCCTGCTTTGTTGCGGTTTGCTGATTTTTGTAAAATAACTTATGTTTTTGCTTTTCAGATAAAAGGGTAGTTTCAGTTTAATATGTTGCAGGCTCATTTATTGGTAATAAATAATTGATAATAAATAATATTGATGATAATAAATTATCAAAAAATATTGGGCTTGTTTTTGAAGCTGTGGTTGCTTGTTTGTCTCGCGAGAGTTGGCAACAGTGCTTGTGACAGCTGAAATGGATCTTGTGAAATGTGCGATCACATCGCCGATCACTCTTGAGAAACTTAAAGATGAAGTATGGAAGGACAAATATCCAAACTTTTTCAGACTACTGCAACTTGCACTCACGCTGCCCGTTGGTTCGGTTACATCAGAAATTTCTCAGTTATGAGGAGAATAAGAAACTGGCTCTGAGCTAGCACACAGAGAACGATTTGACTGAAAATTTATCAGAAGAGATTAAAGAAAGATAGTGGCCATCTACGCAATTTGGAAAAAGAGGCGGCTTTTCTGCATTAGGTATGTTTTTTTTACTCTTTGTACAGCAGTTATTGTTCATTCTAAATGTATTTGTAATGTAGAATATGTGTTACATAAATAACGCATACACATAAAAGTGAAACTCCACCTACGACACACGCATTTTAAATGTGTTTTTTAAAAATATATTTTTTAGATTTTTATTTTTTCCCTTTGGAATAATGTGCACTGATGAATCACTCATAATATTACTTGACACGTGCATTAGGAAAGTAAAAATAGTAAATTATGATTTCATGTTTCGTAATGTTTCCAAACAACCATTCTATTGTGCTAACTCAAAAAACTGTTACATTTTAAAGGCCTAAAATTCCTTATGAGTAGCCAAACATTTGTCATAACACTGCAAGGTCCAGCATATTTCACTAACATGTATCTGACAGATAATTCACCAATTTCATGCCCAGCAACAACCATAACGCTGCATTTCAAACAACTGAGGCATGCAGTGGAGCCTGGTTTCCTTACCGCGCAGTCACTTCCTCTGAATCAAGCTGATTTTCTGCAGAGTGCTGTGAGCATTCCAGAGGTGTCACGCTTAAGTGCTACTGGGTGGAAACACGGGTGGAATTTTTGGCCCCGCTCTGGACTTGATGGGAGACATCCTTGGCTGAGGGAAAGCGAAGGGATTTAGCTCTGGCCTGCTTCATGAATTTTAACAGATGTAAAACAATGAATAAAACATCTCAATGGATAGTGCACTGAGAGAGGAAGGAAGTAGACACATGGAAAAAGACACAAGCTATGTTTGAATATACCACTAGAATACTGTATATTGCACTGTATTCTTCATAGTAATGCATCATTGCAACACTAAACATTTCAAGCAGTAGCATCGTGAATTTCTTTCACAAGATCTTACGTTTTTTTATATAAATGTCTTAAATTGAACATAAATGTCTTAAAGTGACTCATACTTCCATAATTGGACATAAAACAGCATAGTAAATAAGAAATAATGTGGGAGGGGCTTGATTTTATCCATTAGAAATTGATTAGTAAATGAGTGAAAAGTGAAAAGTCAAGTCATAAATATAGTAATTGCAAGTTTGTGCGAAACTCGAAATTGTAGATTGCAATATTGAATCTCAATTTGAAACACTGATCTGTAATATAGAAAATACAATATATAGAGAGATCAGTGAGCAAAAATCTAGTCTGTAGCAAATGGTCTAAAGTTAAGTTTTTTAGAAAATTATTTTTTAATTATTTTGAATTCCAATGTAGTTATCTGGGTTTAATGCTCACAATATAATTATTTTGTTTAGGCTACTTACTTCCTCGTCATGTTTCCAAATTGAATGCGTGACGTCAAAATAACGAACATCCGACTCTGAGGTACAAGTTTGCCAGTTGCACTCGAAGAGAGAATTAATCTTTTGGGCGTTCATTAAAATAACATTAGCAAGTTAGCTTTAGCCAACGAATGAATTCCACTCACTCACAGAGTTTGCTACAGCATGCTAATTCAAACATAGCTTGTGGAGAGCTAGAAATGCTTCTGTCAGCTTCCTCTTTCCCCCACCACTCATTGCCAGTGGAGGATCTAATTTATGAATCAGAGAGGAGCACACAGGATTGCCGTCACACAAGCTTACAAAAGACATACTGTTTCCTCTCTTGTGGCTAACACCCCCCACTCTCTATTCATCTCCTGCGTGAGAGAGAGACTGACAGATAGTGTAAAGCTAGCCTTATATCACATTAGCTGTGTGTTCGCAAACTGTGGTTCTTTCCAGCCAAAGACACCAATTGAGATTGGTCGACTTGGTGTCATTCGCTGTTTAGCGTGGGTGCAGATGCACAGAGTGTTTCGCACGGACTGTACTATCATATAGACAGTCTCGCTCCCTCTTTCCTTTTGCGGAGTACAGTAAAATGAGTCAACGGGGAAATAAAACCATTAACCTTTCACCTCTCCGCAAAAATAGCTGCGGAGAAGACAGCTGCAGCTTGTATGAAGTCCAACTTCAATATCCCCCTGTGTGCGGCGAGGTCCCCCTCCTTCTGCGTCTCTCAGATACGGTCTCTTCCTACAACCGACTTCAAACGTCTCAATTACCCTCAGCGTGATGGGAAATATGCTAATGCATAGCACTATCGCTCGCCTGCTGGGAGCTCACCATAGCCCTGCAGTTGGCTTGTTCTGAACAAGCTCGAAAAATAGGTGCAATCCCTTGCCTTCCGGCCCTCCTCATCCCTCGATTCCTGTGTATAAAGGAGGAACTGAGCGGTCATCGTATTTAGGACGCTCATGTGTAACGTAATCCTGCTAAGTGCCTATAGAGGTTGAGACCATTGCCTCTATTAAAGTCGGTCCCTTTAAACATGCCGCCTGAGAAATGTGTGAAATCTGAAAAATGGGACAGAGGGCCCTGAAGAAATTGATGCCCAGCTGGTAATGGAAGAGAGTAAAGCCTTGCTGACTTGCTATTACTATTGTTTCTACTTACGGTAAGAACTTTGAACAACCCCCTAAACCTAACTATTAGGTAATTTTTGGTATGATAGCTTAGCTCAAAAATGTCCACACAGTTACTGCTAAAATTTGTGTGTGCAATCAAGATTTTACAGAGACAGACTGTACATTTTACATTTTCAGCAGTATGCTAACATATAAATGCTAACGAAGCTAGCAGACACAACATAAATGGGTTTCACGAGGTCTTTAAAATGACTAGAAGCCTGCTTCCATCTAAAGTATAAGTGTAGAAAAGGGTAATTGTGAGTTCAAAATAGTCACACTGTGACATAATTGCAAAATAAAACCATTATTTCAAGATATGGAGTCACATTGTGAAATATAACACCACAACTTGAACCGCAACTTTATCCAGTCGTAACGTTATATTGGACAATGTGACTTTATTCTTGCAATTATGACTATGTCTTGCAGTTGCAAATTTATAAAGTTGTAATTTGGAGATAAAGTCATAATTTCCTTATTTATTTATTTTAAGGTGGAAACATGTTTCAATAATTAATTAGGATTAATAAAATGATCACAACACCATTGTCTTTTTTTTATCTGTATTTTAATAGGACAATGAATTAATTCTATTTATTCATAGACACTGCACCGGACTAAACAACTGGTTTGTATTTTTTTTTCATTGTTTTTAAATAATTCATATATTTTAATGTCCATAACACAAGCTGTAACAAATTCCAAAGGACCGTTGTCACCTGGTAGTCATTTAAATGTACATTATATCACAAACAGGAAGTCTGCTTTAAAAGTCCCTTGTGGATCCCGAAAAAAAGCCAAGTTCTCAGAGTCTGTGAGCGCATACACTCTGTCAATCCTGTCCTCCAAACAGGAAAAAATTAAATAAAATCTCCAAACCTAAACAGATGGTCCAGCCTTTGCGGTTGTTGATTTAGAAAGTAAAATGTGAGACATTAAATTCTCTGTCCCTGGAAATTAGGAGAAAAGAAGAAACAAATAAATTTCACTACACCGAAGAACAAATTTACAACACAGGTGCACTAGCAACACTCTCTCATAGTTTTCTGTTTTCATCTTTTCTTTTTTGTATTTTACAACTGAAATACATTTATAATATATAATCAACACCATTTGAGTTTTAAAAATATGCATTTGTGAGATTCTATTCCCCGGGTAACCCTTTTAATACAAAGCATATCTTTACAAAAAGAATTGTTGCATAAGTCACATGGTAAAGCAAGAATTGGTGCAGGCATTGAGCAGGAGGGCAGTGGTGTGTGTGTGTGTTTGTGTGTGTATTGAGCAAAGTGCATTAAGAGCTCCTCACCACAAATTGCACTGACATCGGTATAAAAAAATATCAACATTATAGTCTATTTTCTTGTTAATTCCAGACATTAAATGGCAGAGAAGAGAGATTTAATCTTTCAGGTGCAGAGATTTTTTTTTAACACTTTTTGATTAATAATAACACGTTTTGGAAGAATCTCACAGACATGTTTCTGTCCAAAATCAAAAGAAATTATATTTTGCTTACATAAAGTCTAAACAGATTTTGTGCATTATTTTCATGACAATTAAGCACGACACCCCCAAAACTGTCATTACTGTACAATACAATTTTCATTACAATTTACATTTCTGAAGTATTTTTTACAATCATTTGAAGCATTATATATTTGCTTTTAAAATACTGTATTACAGTAATGAAAATCACCATTGAGAATGAGAATACAAAAAGGATTATGGTAATGAGAATTTGCATGGAGTGGAGTGTGCTTAATTATCATTAAAATGTGTTTATTATTATTTTTAAAACAAGCAAAGTATAATTTATTCTCTTTTGATTTTGGAGTGAAATAAACCTGAACGTGACTTTGTGAGATTCACGTTTTAAGTTCAACACTAAGCGTGTTCGGCAGATCACAATGATATAATAATCTCCAAAACAGTACTAAGAATCTGACTGGATGATTCTCAACTTGATGCCATTATCCAGAAAAAATAGACAGACTTTAGAATGTTTGCTTATAAAAGTACATCTTTAAAGGGAGGGATGAAAAAGAAAGAACTTGAAAAAAATGTCCTGGACGGGCTCTATGCTCTGGTCCACGCTGGCCCGTTTCACCATGTGTACGACAACATGCACAATAATTTTAACGAAGATAATAAATAAGCACGTTATTTTTCTTTTCACAGTTAACTCGCAAACTTTGGAGTATAAAACGGAATGGCTAGTATTAGAGCTCAAGTCCACAAGCCTCCACTGTCAGATTGAGAAAGTCAAATATATTAAAACACAAAAGGCGTTTCCTTTTCCGTTTAGCTTTTTGCCACCAAAAAAACAAAAAGGATAACAAACATCTCATCAGGCCAGGCAAGGAGTGAACGCAACATGGGTGGGACAGAGAGAGTGTGAGGCAGGATTTTCTCCATTTATCACCTGTATCAACAGGTCAGTCTCTCAGAACAGCTGTTTTCACACACTTGTTGGGTTGGAAAGATCTATAACTAGGCAAAAGTAAAAAGCTGACATTCTGACAGAAAGAGCCAATCCTTATTGCTCATGCCGAATTGAAAAATGACAAAGACTTACGCAAAACATGCAAGAGATCGGTCTCGATCACACACACACACACGCGAAATCATCCGACCGCACACCCTAGTAGAGCCCTGCTTTACTCAAAGAAGTATCAAAAGTGTGTGTATAGCTGTCTAAAAGTTTTTAAAATCCCGCCCCTGCTGGTACACTTCTTATTCGTCCCAAAATCTGGCGATCCCATCAGATTGAAGACAACAGATTCAAAGACTCACAATACTGAAAAATTATAGAAGCTGTAACAACCACAATGGTCATTGTTTTCCTCTATGGGTTGAGTGAAAGCCTACTGGACCCCAGCGTGAGTCACATGACGTATGGGCCTAGAGGTGGAGCTGATGGAGCTCACAGAGTCGGAGAGCTCTGGGCGGGAGCCGATAAAAAAAAAAAGGTTCAGCTATCCTGCTGCAATGCCTCCTCCACTACACTAGGGGGTTCCATCGATCCTTTCCGCTCCAGCGTCCACTCGCTAAATAAAATG